TTTCTGGTCCCGAAGCACTTGAGAACCAAGTCAGGAGGCTTATGCTACGGACTAGATGGAACTCAGGAAAAGTACTAACGAAAGGAAAGTTGTGAGTCAGGGCCAGACCCCGGAGTGGGGGAAGGACATTTGTAAACAGACAAGTACGATCCCAAGTTTAGCCAGCAATGTCAGACCCATGTCTACTGACTCTTCTGGTTTGCTGTGCAGTCCGTGGTTAGGGAGCAGAGAAGGCTGAGAGCGGAATGGATTCTGTGCCGTGTTTGCAACTTTACTGTAAGTCTAACGAGTTCAAAATAAGATTCGTTAAGAATAGGCTTTTAATTGGAAAACACTCCTAAGGGTCAGCAGACAGACCTGGAACTATCTATCAGTTGTTTTTCCCTTTGCCGGATGTCTATCTACATAAGAGAGGCAGGACAAATAATCCTAGGAGAAAACAATGGGTCAGTCCCAGGGGGACATTGGAGAAGATGGAGCGGAGAGGAGAGCGGGAAGCCAACAAACTTGGGGATGAGGGAACAATAAGAGATCTGAAAATGATGGTGAGGAGACCTGGTTCGGTCAATGTATCCAAGAGGAATTACTGAGAGCCGAGTGGAGGGTGAGCATGATAGTGGGACAGGAGGAAGGTGGAAGGAGATAGAGGAAAGAAGTAGGAAGTAAAAGCTATTTATAGAGGTAGAGCTATAGGCATGTATACATGTAAATATATTAATTTTTAATGAAAGGGATGGAGGACAATGTACATATATTTATATGCTAAGTATTAAGATAGCAGATGGACTTTGGGCCTCTACTAAAGGTCTCCCTAAACACAACAACACTTTGTTCTAATAACCTGGCACTCTGATAATCACCTTTCCGACATGAAGACAAAATGGGTGCATAAGCAAAGGTGGTAAAGAAAGAGGATGGTGCCTGGCTATCAAAAGATGTAGCATCTGGGGTCTTAAAGGCTTGAAGTTAAACAAGCAACCATCTAGCAGGGAAGCATGTGGAAGAAGCACACTAGCCTATGTGATCATGATGTGTCAGTGGGATCAGGTATCAAAAAATCCAAAACAAACAATTATATCAATGTGAATGAGGGGGGTTGGAGTGGAGACCCAAAGACCCAAAGTAGACAATTGGACATCCCACCCACAGAAGGGTGACAAGGAAGGGACAACTAGGGTGCCGTATAGCACCGACAACACACACATCATTCCTCTAGTTTCTGAATGCTTCCTTCCCTCCACTACCATGACTTAGTCTACCTTACACACATTGGTACAGATAAGAGCTCTCAACACATGGAATTCAGGACAGATGAAACCTCAGGAACTACAGTGGGAGCAGCGATGTCATGAGGATAGGGGGATGGATGGTGGAGAAAGAGGGAACCCATCACAAGGTTGGATATATAGCCTACCCCCCAGGGGGATGAATAACAGAAATGTGGGTGAAGGGAGATAACAGACAGTGTAAGACATGAAATAGTATACAATTGTACAAATGATATACAAAATAATATACAATCAAGGATTCACAAG